CTCCCAAAGACATTACACTCTTCAACTTCTTAAAGACACTGGTTCTTTTGCCAGCAAACCAGCTCAGCTACTTGTGGATCCGCCTCTAAATTCTTTTGATGGAGAACTCCTTGATGATGCTTCTTTATATCAAAGATTGGTACTTAACCATCTCTCGACCAATCATTACCGTTGCTGTTCATAAACTCGGCTAATTCATGTCTCAACCTCGACAACCTCATCTTGATGTTGCACTTAAGGTATCTTAAATCATCCTCAGGATAAGGCTTGTTATTTGCTGCTGCTTCTTCATTCTAGCTTCAAGCATGTGCTGACGCTAATTGGGGATCATGTCCTGATTCAAGAAAATTCAAGAAAATTAATCACTGGGTTTTGTGTGCTCCTTGGTGATTCACTAATTTCCTGGAGAGCTAAAAAGCAAACCATTATTTCCAAATCATCAGCTGAGGCAGAATATAGGGCCTTGGCATCTACAACAAGCGAACTTGTTTGGATACATCAGCTTCTTCTTGATTTCCAGATTACATCTTCTTCTCCGGCATTAATTTTCTGTGATAATCAAGCTGCGATCCATATCGCCACGAATCCTATCTTCCATGAACGGACAAAGTATATAATTGATTGCCATTTTACATGGGACAAAATCAATGATGGTTTCATTAAACTTTTACTAGTTTGAAGTCAACATCAGTTAGCTGACATTTTTACCAAGCCTCTACCTTCCTCCCTCCTTTTTCCACTATTGTCCAAGATGGCCATTCTTGATCTTCATCGTCCATCTTGAGGGGGAGTATCAGATCTCAAGTTCAAGTTGGCACCAAAGTACAGCTGGCAATTACAGTTAGTAGGTGGTAGTTAGGCCATGTGTACAATTGGTTAGTTACATTGCAGCTGTCAATTATGTTATCTTGTTAGCTCACTGTACTTAGATATATGACTGTGATGTATCTTTCAGTGATTTGAATGAGAAATTTCATCTTCTTTCCACATTCCAATTCTCCCTTAGTACACAGCCTCATGGTTTCAGTTCTTGAGGTTCAAACTCATGATTTGCATGATGCCCACCAGTTTGCAGAGAATCTTGTTTATACTATAAACCCATAAATATACAAGTCATTCAAAGGGTAAGGTATTCAAACCTACTCAAACACAAACAGTCTGTCTTGTTTACTTACTGTAGCAATATCTAATCTTACAGTTTCAAACATTGTAGAGTATTTGGGTTATAACTTTAAGTTCATTGCTTTTTAACATAGGTCCGCAATGACATGCTCCAATGCTTTCTTGTTCCTAGTAGGGTCCACTTCATGTTCATAAATGATTGTCTAAAAAAGACTCTCAAATGGCGCGTCTACCTTATTGCCTCACAATCCTTCCACCACGACAAAGCATTAGTTATTTTTGAACGGCTCATATCTTCGTCACCTTGTATAAAGTTTAACCTGAAATTAATTTTTCTAGGTTGTTTTGGGTACAAATATTCACGTACTCGTAGCATGATGACGTTACTAACGACACAAAAATGGGGAGACAAGTCGTCAGAGTAGAGATCTAAAATTTGAACAAATCTAAACATAACTATTGATCAACCAATAATTAGTTAGTGTTGTGATGAGGTTAGTCGATTACGACGATCGAACTAAAGTTGTAGCATCATAGGACAATAGACCTAAGCTAAGCAATATAAGAAGACATATATGGCCAAGTAACTCAAGAATGGCCTAACCCAAGATGTCATAGTTAGGTGGATGTTAATGAAGATAGGCGACGTCCACAATGAATCAAGGGACAAATTCAAACCGACTAATTGACCATTGTCGTCCAATCAGCCACCAAATCTCCCTATTTCTCTTTTGACATCAGTTCCTCTTCTTTCAGGGTTGAAAATAGAAAAGTTTCAAAACTCGCCTCAAGCTTCACATTATCACAAACTTCAGAAGATTTTACCAGCACTAACACTCCAATAATTGAATGTCATTTAGCCAAGGAAGTACATCGAGTGTGTATCTTCTTTCGCTCTTACACACTCTTTTAAGTCTTAAATAAGCTATCCTTTTGAACTTAATTACGTATAAATATAAAAGAAATTTCAGAAAATAGGCAGGATGCTGCTGTCGTGGAAGGGCTATACAAGCATATTTAAGTTCAAAACTGTCTAACTAAAATGTATCAAGAAGACTAACGATTGTTACTGCTGCTCTAAATAACAACAGACAAAGATTGATAATAATTGGAGAAAAAGAAAAACAAGCCTAAAGTTAGTATATCGGAGTCATAGATATTTAAGTGCCAAAAAGAGAGCAAGAAATCACTTAAAATGGAACTCCAGAATCAAGTACACTTTTAATCTGCACAAAACAAAAATTAATATCCACAGCCTTGATATCCACCATACTAAGAGACTAGAAGCAAAAATACTATGCATCCCTCAAGAATGGCGAGTAAAATGTTTACTAGTTTCATATGCTGCCGCACTAATGAATGACCGTAAGCAATCATCACAGGAAACCTACACTTGTCGTCTGAAGGATCCTCGTCTGTGATCATAGCCAAGCCTGAGAAATCGCAGTCCCAATCATTTTGGTTGTTAAATTGATAATACATGTTAAAAGCGTAGGAAGCATTCCCTTGGACACTCAGATTATTACAGGAAGAACCATAGCCCAGAGCAGTGCAATCTGATAAGCTACAAGCATAATCAATATTTCTTGCCAAGTCTTCCAATTCCTTGACAAGTGGGTTCAAAACACACCATCTTTTGTGCATATATCTTACACCATCTACTGCAACTAGGCCCTTATTTTCTTGCAAACCCGACAAATCCAATTCGTATTTTGGCTTCCCATCAAATTCGAAAATCCCCCAATGCCTCTCAAAACTACCAGGAGCAATGCTTTTGGCATCCTCATCAATGAGGCTAAACAAGTAAACATCGATTTTACCTTTCCTAGCAGGGGTTCCTTTTCCACTTAAAGCATGCTGAATCATTCCTTGATTAAATCTCTTTGCGTATTGGATACTGGCATGCTTATCACCATCAGTTGGCCAGCCTACTTCTCCAATTGTGATCTTCATATCAGGGTACCCCGCCTTTGATAAAGACGAAACAAGGGTGTCAAAATTTGCATCAAATACATTGGTGTAAACCAAATCACCATCTCTAATTGGTTTGTTTGATCCATCAAAAAAGGCATAGTCTAAAGGAAAGTAAACGTTCCCATAGAGACTTAAGAAAGGATAGATGTTAACAACAAAGGGCGCATCATTTGAATATAGATATTGGACTATTTCAATTGTGAGATCGCGTATTTCAGGTCTGAAGTCACCAGCAGAGGGAACTTGATTTGAGTCTGGAGAGTTGTAAACATCAGCATTAAAGGGGACTGTTGCTTTCACTTGTGAACCAAGCCCCGCATGGTTAATGGCTTCCTGCATATTTTTAAGAGCTGGTAGTGTGGTGTGTAAGTAGGAGCCATTATAGGTAGTGAGAAAAGGCTCATTACCCACAGCTACATACCTGTAAAATTGTATTGATTGTTATGAAGCTGTAGTTAGAAAGAACGGGAAAACCATGGAATTGCACTCTACTTGACACAAAATTTAGCACTTGTCAAAAAAAAAAAAAAAAAAAAAACACAAAATTTTTTAACTGCACAACTAAACACGCACCTAAATATTTCTGCTTCAGTTAGAATTTATTTCAATCTTTCCTTCAATTTATATAGTTCGATCTTCTCCAATCCAGTATCAGAAAATTTGCTTTCATCTTAGGATCACAATGTCACCACATATTTTCGAATTGACCCAACAGTTAATAGGTCGAAATCATTCCAAAAAAACTAATTAAGCCCACCCGAGTCGAGTTTGAAGTTCAGCTGTTTAGTGTATATGCAAGACATAGATACACAGCCAAAATAGACTCAACAAATTGTTCAAATATTATCAAGAAATGGTGTTAAAATTGTTAATAACTGAACCTGATATTGACTCCTCCAGAGTCTGAATAGGCAGTGAGATTGGCCTCGACCCAAGAAGCGGCAGCGTCCGGGTCCTGGCTCATCTGCTCCAACATGTAATTGGGTATTGCAATCATAACTTCTATATCAGTTCCAGCCAATGCTTGCAGAATCTTATCATCTGCCTCGAACAGCTTAACCTTGCCGAACCCATTATCTTTCATCATCTGTACTACACTTTCTGGTGGCAACTGATGTTTTGCCATTGTACCCCAATTCACTCCAATACTCGAACCCTCAGAAACTCTACAGCTCAATATGTAAATAAGAAATACAATTATCAAAGAATAATTACAAGTGTACGCTCCAATTTTCTCCATGTTATTAGGTTCTTTGTTTCTTGATTCGGAAAAAATGGAAAAGAATCTCAATATATTCTACTCAAAATCTTCTTCTTTTTGTTAGAACATGTCAAATACGTGGAACTTTAGTAATTAGCTTGCAGAAGAAGTGAGGTAGGAGAAGAAAAATGGAAGTAAGGAAAAAGTTGAGGCACCAATCAGAAGGGGGAAAAAATATAACGAACAAAATATTCCTTTGTTAATTCTGTTATTCAGTTATGCAAGCAGGCCATGCATTTTCCCACTAGAAAACAATTGACATACTAACTTCCTTATTTTAACACATAATTTAATGTTGATTTTTCTTTAGGAAAGAATCAGATAATAATTTGCATGGAATTATAATCGATCGTTTTTGCGGCACCATAAATTTCATGCAGTTAAAATCAACCACACCACACTTCATTCTCCTTAATCATGCTTGTTGACCTCAAAAAATGTACCTCCAGATGATCAACAGATCCCGAAATCTCTTACGTCCAAACAAGCCGTATACTTATACACTATGACAAATCGTTAGACATACGTGGCCTTTTCCGGTGGAGGTGGAGCCGACTGCGCGTATTCCGATGATCAAGTCAGTTAGGGAAGAAGTATATTAATTGTGGGAGGGCTTTTAACATGAGTCCTAACATTAAACAAAGTGGGTCGGTTTCAGGGAAAATAGTGAATATAGAACAAAGTTATAAAGTATCTGTTTCGCACGGGTTAGTCGGTAACAATTAAAAGGGATCAGACGATTGTGTAAGGGACAAACCTCTTGAGACAAAGTCCCAAAAATGGGTGTTCTTTTATTGACGATGACTTTACAATTGGAAATTAAAAACAGAATGCCTCCAAGGGGCGCAAGCACACGAGTTACTGNTTTTTAACTGCTGTCATTACTCTTCGTCGTTCAACCGTTTTCGATTGAATTCCTTGAATCGTGGAACGTGATAGGGCTGCTTTGATAACTGCTTTGATAATTGCACTTCTTGATAACCACCACGCTTCATGTTTGTTAAGACCTTGGGCGACTTGAAGGTTTGGGCGAGAATAGAATAACAGCTCTGGGCGACTGCATGGCACTCCATTCGCTCAGATTCTGGGCGACTTGCAAACTTGGGCGATGGCGTTACCGCGTTCTTAGGCCTCCCTATTTGGGCCTTCATCTTGACTTATTTGATTGGGTTTCATTATTTGGGCTATCTGATTTGGGGATCCTCCAATTAGACTTCGTTCCTTAGGTCGTACGATTTGGGCTGAATTTTTATGTGTCAACAATTATCCCCCAATATGGCAGAATTAATACTAATTATTAAATTTTGCCATATTCATTTCGTGTTTCCAGCAACATTATCATTGTTTTCTTCCATAGTTTGAAAAGGTGCGTCGTTTTGCAAACCCTTAAACCCCCAAACACGCCATTTCACTGCACCATTAAATCACGCCTCAATTTTTTGCGTCTCTCCCACGATTTACTGTTCATCTTTTGCTTCCCTGCTACGTAACTCTGAAAAAACTTCGTTCCATCTCAAATGGCTACTTCACAATCTCAAGCTAGCGACTCCTTTAGTTTTGATGACTTTCAAAAACTTCTGAGTCGTCCATACATAATTTCCAGTTTTCTCGCGCCCGCCGATGTCGAACGCAATGAGTTCTACTTAGCTCCTTTCTTCAACAATGCAGAGGCAGACGAACAGGCGGCGGTGGGCCAGCTGTTTCCTTGTACTCAAGGCCCTCCATTTCTAAACTCTCTACCGTTGGGGCCACTTCGCGAAAGAGGTATTCGCACTTGGCCTAAATCTTATGTAGCTTTCCGTAGGTAGCATTCTCGTCTTGTGGGCCATGGTCCTACTAAGGCACTTTTTGATAATGCTAGGATTTCTGATTTGTTAGAAATCTCTATTCGCCCCCCTATTTTTGATTCAGCACTTTTTTCGATTGCTTTGAGTTTTTGGTCTTTCGAGTATAATACCTTTATTTTCCCTCTTGGCCCCATGTCTATTACTTTAAGGAATGTTGGGGCCCTAGTGAATCTACCACCTTTGGGCGATACCATTTTTCCTGGTATCTTGGTTTCTGGTGGCGCCCCAAAGTTTAGTAAAAACTACACCGAATCTTATTCAAGCCTGCAAACCCTTCACAATCATTCAAGCGTTGAGCCTTCCCATACTGAGCGAGTGGCCTTTCTTCTAGTTTGGCTTTATAAATATGTTTTGTGTATGCCAAGCATAAAGCCCTCCCTGAGTTATTTACCCATAGCGCATGAATTGGCGCGTGACAGGCCTTTGAATTTATGTTCTTTCTTTTTGGCTGCCCTTTATAGAGGCATGACTTCTCTCCAAACCCAATTGAAGAATGGTGCATCTCCTACTGGTAGTGGACCTCTTTGGTTCACTCAACTGTGGTTGAGATCCTATTTTCCATTGCTTGGTGCTCCATCAATTTCTCGTTTCTCTGCTAGCTGCTATGGGCTAGCCATTGAGCCCTTGGCTCTTGTAAATATGTCCAGAAGGGACATTTTTTCATTCTTTTATTCTTTGGATTCAATCTCTTCCTTTTTTCCTTTTCCTCCTTTTTTGACTCCAAACTATGTACATCCCCCCTGCACTATAGACAGCGCGAGCACCTCCCTGCTCATTTGGATCCAGTTTTTAACTGGGAGGGAGCTATTTCATGATATTTTAACTGGTACCAATGCCAAGGCAGGGGTAGAAATTTATGCTCCCCAATTTTTTGCTCGCCAACTTGGTTTCGGCCAAACTTGGCCTGTTCCTTCTTGCTATTCAAGGAACTTTATTGACCGTTTTCATATTATTAATAAGGCAGAGGCAGAGGCTATAAATGCTCGCAACCTTATTTTGACCAGCTATTTTTCATTAGCCCCCTTCAATTCTAGCCACGCCATCCATCCTCTCTTTGAACAGCTCTGGCCGTCAGTGAAGCGCAGATTATTTGCGACTGATGTCAATCGTGCCTTTCATTCACTAGACCAGCCGAGCATTTCTTCCCCTCCTCCTGTTTTAATCACTCCTTTGTCCATTCGGAGTCCTCCTCCTCGTCGCGCTAAACAGTCTGCTCGTCCATCTTCTTCTCTTCCTGCCAAGCCTACTACAGCCAAGAGTGCCCCAAGCCGCAAACGGCCAGCCTCAGCATCTCCCATTCTGGAGGATGATGTAGATGATGATGATGATACCCCTCTTATCGTCAGGAGGAAGGTAACTAAATTGGTTTACCCACAAGCATACTTTTCCATACTTGAAACTTTTCTGTGTGCTGACAACTTATTTGGATTTCTCAGAAAAGTTCAGCCTCTCCTTTAAAGGTTTTGGCATCGGCAGCTCCTGCTCCATCATCCTCTATTGAGGCTGCTTTATCCAAACCAGTTGATAAGAGGACTATGCTTAAAGAGACATCTTCAGTCCCAGAATCCTCATCACAACCCATGGATGAGCTACCTTCTTCCCAGGGCGTCAACCCCCCAATCATTGAAGCAGAAGGTAATTCAGTTTTTTGATGCCTTACCTTTGCTTGTGCTATTGGTTTCTGATTTGTTGCTCTTGGGTTCTGCAGATACTCCTACGAGTCTGCCCGTTGTGGCAACATCTTCTCGCTCAGACAAGGGGAAGTCCTCACGAATGGAGGAGTCACTGGTGGCAGATTTGGCAGAGGGTATGCTATCTTTCACGATTGTTGATGAGGTAATCTTTGCTTCAATTTTATTTCCATTTGGTTCGTTGTAGTGAGAATCTTCAATATTGGCAATTTTCTTTGCAGGATGCTGACAAGATTGTGCGTTCTATCCAAGACTTGTTCGCTTCCTGGGGGAAAGTCAAGACATCTCACCCTGCTCCATCTGATCGTCCTGCTGCTTCTTCAGAGGAAGATTTGAAGTTCCTCAAGCAGTCGATATTTGAGTACGTGTCCTTCATGGATATGGATATTGGTAGGGCTAGTGCTGCTAGACACAAGGATAAACTTGAGCATTTGAATGCGAAGTTGGAGCAAGCACTGACGCTTCCGTCGCTCAATCTTTCTGTCGATTTTAAAGCGACGTTGAAGGTTATCCACTCCGAGGTCCTTTCCTTGCTGGCCAAGAATGCTGAACTAAAGGCCAAAAGTACTCAACATCTTCGCGCCGTATCTGAAAAAGAGTCTCTGCGTCTGGAGATCAACAAGGCTGAGGATGAGTTGAAAGAGATCTCTTTCGAAGTCATGATTGAAGACTCTTTGATGGTTAGTTTGGCTGCTCAGATGAAGGAACTTCGAGCCAAAATGGATGACTGCAAGGCGAGAATGGCAGCTAAAAAGTGCAACGCCTCCCAGGGAATTGAGCGAACTAAGTCCTTGGTTGAGCAGTACAAGAAGTTGGAAGTTGATGATGATGTCGTGGCCGAATTGAACATCACTTCCTCTCTGCAGAACGAGGATTGGAAAAAACTTAGGGAACGAATTCGTTCAGTGTAGGGTGGACTATAATTAAGACATACGATGCCTTTTTCTTTTGTAATTTGATTTTCCCTTTGTAACTTTGTTCATCATTAATGAACATATTTGTTAACTTCTTGTGCATTTATTTGACCTTTTTTTAATCGTCAATTCTTCAAGCATTTAATTGCTTTGTGCTAAAAAATCTTACCCATTTTCTTTTGATATTTATACCACTTTTTTCAAGACTTTGGGCTATTTAATTCCATTTACTAGGCAGAATGTGGCTACTCATATTCTGTCTCTTCATCTCCACCCCCTATAAATGCACGCATGCTTCGCATTTTCCATCTTCCATCTTCATCTTCATTTTCTTCTTCGAAACCAATTTGCTGTCATTATTTGGTACTCTGACAATCAATCCGATCCGAAACCTTCGTCTTTCTATAAAAATTGATTGTTTAGTCCGTTCATTTTACTATTTGCCTTGATGTCACATTTGATGTGGGAGGTATAGGAAATATTTTTGGCCAGCAGCAAAGTTTTTACCATCGAAGTTCTTCCCATCACCTCTTTGTCCTTTACAAGGAGTTGATGATAGAAGACAATTTTTGGGATGCTTGCGGGCTACCTTACTTGCTGAGAGTGCTTCTGAGCTTGCTTGCTAAGAGTGCTTCTCAGCCTGCGATGCATTTAGGAACGTGGTGAGGTCAGTCCACCCTCTTACTCAGCGATCAACCGGGAGATTAGCTTACTTTTGATTGTAGTTTGTAGAGCATCCATTATTTGTATTTTTGCATCT